CAATTTGATCATTTTGGCTTCTAGGGGTATTTCAGGCTTGATCTGTTCTGGGACCCATTTGTTTGTCTTTTTGTCTGTCCACAGTATCCTCAGCACTCTTCTCCAGCACAAAATGTATTGATTTTCTTTTTATCTGCTATTTTCACGGTCCAGCCCTCACATCCATACACAGTGATGGGAAATACCGTGGCTTGGACAATTCTAACTTTAGTTCCCAATTGCGTATCTTTACTTTTTAAGATTTTGTCTAGTTTTTTCATCGCTACCTTTCCCTTTCCTAGTCTTATCTCTTGCCCTGCTCTGCAGGAAGACACAATCAAGCACCCATGCCAGATGGCCATCCAACTTTGGCTTAAAAACCTCCAAAGAAGACTCCACTACTCTCTGAGGGAGTGTGTTCCACTGTCAAACAACTCTTACTGTCAGGAGGTTCTTCCTAATGTTGAGGTGGCATCTCTTTTCCTGTAGTTTGCATCCATTGCTCTGTGTCCTAGTCTTTGGAGCAACATCAATCATTACACTGTTGTGTGCCTTCAAGTCATTTCTGACATATGGAGACCCTAGGGTGAACCTATCACAGGGTTTTCTTGGCATGATTTGTTCAGAGGATCTTTGCCATTGCCTTTCTTTGAGGCTGACAGAGGATGACCTGCCCAAGATGGTATTTTATGGTCAAGCAGAGATTTGAACCCTGGTCTCCCAGAGTCTAGGTCCAGCACTCAAATCAATACACCATGCTGGCTCTCAAAAAATCATAATCCCCTCTGTTTTCTCTTCTCCAGGCAAAGTATATACAACACCCTCAACTGCAGGACTTGGTTTCCAGATCTTTCGGCATCTTTGCCACTGAACCTAATATATAATACAGTTCTTGCACAGAGGGAACACAGAGAAGTTGACAGAATAGAGGCCTGCAAAAACTCAACCTTCTGTTTTGAAAATAACTCAGAAAAACAGATGCTGAGACAAAAACCAGGAACTCTTGAAGTCCTCACAACACAGGCCCATAAACAGCTGTTATTTATAGCTTCATTATTCTTTTCTTTTGCCACAGCCCCACTATCCACAGTCCTGAGCAATGAATCTAGGTTTAAAAGAACTATTAAGAAGAACTATTTTCAACCACTACAATCAGAGGAGCAACAATTACTATTTTTAAAGCACCCATTTGGTCTTACTGGAGAAAATGTGAGCAACAGTTTCCTTGCAGTCCTGTGATCTTTTGCAAGTTTTGTTCCCATTTACCAAAGAAGTTTTCAGATTCCAGTGGCACATTTAACCAATTCATGTTTGCACATGATCTTATACTGTTTTAACTTGTTTTAAATGGTCCTGTTGTTTTACACTGTTCAAATTACCTTTTCTGTTTTAAACTTTTAAATTGTTTAAACTTTATTTGTATTGCACACTGTCCTGAAATATTTTGAGATGGGAAGGTGACAGAATTACTATCCAGGTTGTCCCTGCAGTTTGGATCTGGTACTCAGTCCTCAAAATGACCACTATCTTAAACAAGTAGCTATGTTGATCAGTGGGCAAAATGTGGTAAAACCATAACCCACAACTCTTTGGTGGTGTCTGCACAGAAGAAAAGAAACATTCCTGCCCTGTTCCAACACTAACCTTTTTAGATGATGCACAGGGAACAAAAAGGACAGAACATGGGACCAATCCATGCTCAAGACAATTCTACAGAATAAAAAGAGTTCTTTATTATTCCATGTCAGGGCAGAAACTCTGGAAAATCCTGTAGGTATGTGGAGTACAAAAGGTAAGATTACAGGGGAAGGATTATTGGCAGGCAGGTGATCTGCTGACTTCTTCCCATCCAGAACTTCCAACTCCCCACCATACTTTCAAATGCTTATATCACCAGTGCTCCTATTATACTCTGTGTGTGTTGTGTGCCTTTAAGTCATTTCTGACTTAAGGTGACCCTAAGGCAAATGTATCATGGGGTTTTTTTGGTATGTTTCTTCAGAAGGGGTTTGCCACTCCCAGTGGGTTTACATGGCCAAGCAAGGATTCGTACGCTGGTCTCCAAAGTCATAGTCCAATGCTCAAACTACTATGCCACTCTCGCTCTCAACCTGAGCATGCAACTCAGAATTCTTTTGGGGCTTCACACTGTAAGGGAACGTTGGTAACTGGTTGTTTGTTATTATTATTGTTGTTGTTGTTGTTGTTGTTGTTGTTGTTGTTGCTGTTGTGTGCCTTCAGGTCATTTCCAACTTATGGTGACCCTAAGGTGATTCTATCATGGGGTTTTCTTGGCGAGATTTGTTCGAAGAAGGTTTGCCATTCCCCTGAGGCTGAGAGCTTGTTACTTGCCCAAAGTCACTTCATGGCCAAGCGGGGAATCAAACCCTGATCTCCAGAGTCATAGCCCAACACTCAAACCACTACGCCACATGGTAGGCAAGTCATACTTCAGAGATACAATTCTGCTATCTTTTGTCTTCTTTTGGAGGAATCCCAGAGACAGTTTGAATCCAGTCAACAAGTCAGCAGCAGAAGTTCAAATGTGTTTATAATCATAAGTACCAATAAGGCATTTCAGATGCAAACAGACCGTATAATCTTTTAACATTCTTTCACGATGAGATTCGTCTTCCATGGTTAAAGCTATATGTGAGAGGCCATGTGTTCATGCTGTTTGAAAATGTGGCCCGCTTCTCCTTCCCTTCTCTCCCTCTCTGTGTCTCGAAATGCTAAGTTACATATGGCAAATTGTGCAGCCCACTGTGGATACACAGCATGTTTGCCCATTTCAAATTAAGTGGGAAACAATGACAGATCACAGGACTGACACATTTTGCATTCACTGCATTATGACCTTGCATCTTCATTCAGCAGCCCTTCCACCATGATGGATAAGAGATACTCAACCTGTATTATGTTAAGCAACTAAGAAACAATAGAACGAACCGTGGACTGTTCAAGCTACAAAACGCAGCCATCTTCCAGCTGCCTCTGTACCTGCCAATTCTGCTCAGCATCCTTGGTCCACCTGTAGAGATGGAGGCACCTTAAGCAATTAGTAGTGAAGACTCTCGTCTCTGGAAGGCCCTAGGGTTCATCAATAATTACTGCATGTTGTCTCCACTACTGGAGCTCAATCTTACCCACAGGTTTCTGAATGCCTCAGTGCTGACTGAGAATTATGAACCACTTCCATTAGATGTTATGAAGGAAGAAGGTCATCACCTTTCCAAGAAATGAGAAAAACAATTCAACCCAAAGCCCCACGTGTCAGAACTAAACGCTGCTCTAGAAATGCCTAGAGGATCTCACTTTATAACCAACTATGCCATTAAACACACACAAACACACAGGTACTGTATCCAGGTAGTGAGCATTTTAGTCTCCCGTGCAGGGAAAGAAAGAGAAATACAATTTCTGCTTTGTGGTATATCTCTTCCTTCAAGAAGTCCAGGAAGAAGGCATACCCGTGTCTCTGCTGTTTTGTTTTAGAAAAGACCTATAAAGTAGATTAGGATAAGAGATACAAGATAGGCAAGATTATCTTCCCAAAGTCAACTTATGAACTTCAAGGCCACACAATGATTTGAATGATTTGAAGGGCTCATTTAAAAAGTCAATGATGCTGGAGAAGATAGAGGGTGGTAAAAAGAGAGGAAGCCCACATGCCAGGTGGATAGACTCAATGAGGAAGACCACAGGCCTGAGCTATAGGACCTGAGCAGAGAAGAAGATGATGATAGGGGAGCTTAGGGATGTCTCAAGGTTGACTCAAATGCAGCTAGCAACAACAATATTTCTGCCAAGTGTTTACCATAGAGCAGGAGTAGGCAACCTGTCCCCTTTAAGGGCCGAGGGACTTCAGCTCCCAGAATCCCAGGAGCTATTGGCCAACATGGGACTACTGGCCAACATGGCTGAGGCATCTGGGAGTTGAAGTCCCTCGACCCTTAAAGGGGAACGGTTGCCTACCCCTGCCATAGAGTCACAGTGGAGGACCTCCAGGTGCCTATAGGTGCTCTCTCTAGGCATTTGGAAGTTCTCCATTGTGACACTATGGTCAACCTCTGGCAGAAGGTGGCCACAGAGTCACTCCAGAGGACCTCCAGATGCCCAGAGACACCACATATACCACCACAGGTAATGGTCCCACAGATATGGGGATCATACTGTACTTTTATTTGGTAGTAAGGCAGCATACAAACTTGATATTACTTCCCGATTGTCAAGGCTGCATGTCATGAATGTCAACTGCCCTTTATAGTAATTTTGAAAACCTTGCAACCCTACTTCTCATCCAATGGGCCTCTAAAGGTGGCAGTGAAAGCTCTCCCCTGATAATAAAATATCTAACAGGTTTGCACAGATAACATGACCTTTGGTAAACTATCCCCTCAAATAGGTTCATCTTCATCATAGGAACGTTCATTAAAGTTCAAACTGAAATCCAAAGAAAATCTGCAGCCACACTGAGACGGACATCACTGGCCACCATTGAGTGGAACATACTCCACTGTAAGACTTGAAAGGAGGGAAAGAAAAAAATCTCCTCCTAACCCCAGCAGAGAAATTCTGAACAATGTAGTGAAAAGCCACACAAACTCAGGAGGCATTTGTGTAATGTGGTCTCAAGGGATGCTCCAAATGACAGAACAAGACCTTCCTCATCAATAATTTACAGCATTCTATAAATAATAAACAAGATTATTTCAATGCTTCTCCCCATCCCCCCAATCCATTAAAGCTCTAGCGACCTTTAAATGCTGGGCTATAACTTGCTATTCCACAAATAACATCCAAGCTCACAAAGTGTCTGTAAAATTAAATTATTTGTTGGAATTGAGTTCCTTTCTCCCTTTTTGGCATTCACCTCTTTTCCTTACTAGTTTCTTGGCAAACTGATCCATCTTCGGTGCTCCCCTAACATGGCAATGTGGTTTTAACATCATGTTCTTGCTGATTTACTATAGGAAATGAAGACCTGCAACCAGCAAGTGCTCCCATCAGAGTAGGGAAGGAATAATGTGAGTACACAACAGGATGCTCCTTATCCCATCCTCTTCACTGAACCTCTATGGAGGAGCACAGAGAAACTGTTATCCTAAAATTCAGAGTCATAGGCAGCTGTGTTAGTCTGAGTCTGAGGAAGTAGACTGAAGTCTATGTAAAGATCTTTTTGCATGTTATCCAAGAAGTTTGTGATTAATTGCTTCCCCCTCCTGTTTGTCCAGTCAGGGCCTCCCTCACCTCCGAACCTCTCCTACTCATTGCAATTCTTTGCTCTGATGGACTTCATTTCGACTCTCCATCTACTGGTGGCTGGTGGGTCCCATGTCTGGGGAGGAGATAATCTGCTCTGGGTTTTAATCCAAACTAAGTATTAAAGCCTAACACCAAATGAGGGCTTGCCACCTTGGATAGCTCCTTTTAGAGTTTGGACTAAAACCCAGAGTGGATTCACTTCCCCCATTGACACAGCATGCTAATGCCTGCATCACCTACAGAGACGTATCTGGAACATTTAAACAGGAGCAAAAGAGGAGACAAAAATGGGTATACACTGCCCATCGTTTGGCAGACATATCCAATCAGTATGAAAAAAAATTATTTCTCTTACTCTCTACCAGATTGCATCTGCACTGCAGAATTAATGCATTCTGACACTGATTTAACTTCCATGGTTCAGTGCTATGGAATAATAGGATTTGTAGGTTTGTGACATATTTAGCCTTCTCTAAATGTTTTAATTTGTTGTACTGTTTTAATTTGTTTGTACGCTGCCCTGATTGCCGAGCAGAGGGGCAGGATAAAAATTAAACTTATTACTATTATTATCTATCAGAGAGATCTGGTACCAGAACAAGCTACAAATTCCAGGATTCTACAGGATGGAGCCATGGCAGTTAAAGTGGTGTCAAATTGCATTAATTCTGCAGTGTGGCAGCAGCCTCAGTCTCTCACATGCAATTGTCATTGTTGTTATTTGCCATCCATCCAGCTTTGACCTATGGAGTCACTATGAATGAGAGACCTCGAGATTCCTAGTCTCCCCACCAGTCATCCAGTGCCCTGCTCAGGTCTTGCAAACTCAGAACAGCCATGGCTTCTTTGATGGAATCTGATACAATGTGTGAAGCTGACCTAGATAACAAACTTTGGCTACAAACCACTATCTGAACCCCACATAGTTTAGTTGTGTTCTTTTAACTGACTTACAAACTCTGTAGTAACAAGAACAACTCTGGCTTGTTGAAACCATGGCTGCCTAAAATTGGAGTTGACAAAACATCAAGAGAGAAACAAATCACGAACACAACAGACAAGCAATGGATGGTTTGCAGTTTGTGGCCTGAGCAACAAACCATGGTTAACACAAACCATGGCTTACCATGATAAAAGAATGTGATGAACCATAATAATATGGTGTTACCAAAATCATACATTCGCATCATACTTAGACACACTGGTCACTAGTGTGTTATATATCAGAGGTGCCGTGATTCTCCTCTGAGTTTAAGACTGAACTGTGAAGGAGCAACCCAAGGTGTTGACTTTTCCTCCCATAATACCGGTATGTTCACTTTCTGGAAATAGCTCCATTTAAGTTTGTACTAAAACCCAAAGTGGATTCATTATCCCTCAAACATGGAAGCCACCAGCTGCCACTGCTCAACCATGCTGGACATAAGCCCAGGCAGCAATAAACAATGACTGTCAAATCCTGAAACATACAGGAATATTATCTTGGGATGTGGCAACTTGCATTTTTAGCAGTCACAGGCATTGGGCTGGCATCTTTTTATCACACGTTTGCACTAAAGAGGATAAACACAACACCTTGACATCGTTTTACATCCTTTGCTTACTTTCCCTGAAGCATAACAACTTGGAGTGAAGAAGTGACCACATGGCAAAACAAGATTTCTGATGTTTCATTTATGATGCCAGACTGCTTTCAAATGCACATGAAAACAGCTAAGTAAACAGAAGCACGTGTCTTGAAAATTCATCTCTATCAGGCAGAAAATGCATACACACACACATTTTCATTTTCTGCTCAGAAACTCCTTTGAGAGGGGGGAAAAAATCTATATTTGCTGTAAATCCCTCGGCCGATGGGAGAGGAAATGGGGAGGAAAGAGAATGACATGACTCAGTCTGTAATATCTGCTTGTAACCTCTGTGCAAGGCGGAGCAACCCAACCGCCTTGTAATTACAGCATCATCCAGGAACCACATAGCAAAAAATCACACATTTTCCATAGTATCTTCCATATGGTCATGTGTTATAAAGAAAAAGAAAAAACCCAAGGCATTGTCTAAGTGTCAATGTTTCAAGACAATTCCACAAGGTGCAATAGCCACAATCTAACTTGGGATCAGGTCTCTAATCTTCTTCAAGTGTTACTTGCCAGAGTTTCCTTAAGACAGAATA